GCGATTATGTGAGTGCGATTATGGACGGTTTTTCCAAACACGCTGACTGTTTACTATCTCCGAGTTTGTTGAAAAGGCTGGGGCAGTTTGTGGACAAGCACTTCAACACCGTCTCTGCTGCCTCCGAGGGTGAGGAGCCGGAAGTTGAGTGACCAGGGTGGTCAGCAGACTTAATAGTTGTGCGCCGGGTTTGAGTCCAAGGCTCCGAAGGGGCCTCTGGGGCGATGTCGTCTGCTTCCTGTTTTCGTGGTTTTTGAGGGTGCTTTTCGCTTGCGAGGTTTTTCTCGCCCCGGTTTGCTCGGGCCTTTCGGCTTTGGAGGACGAAGTCTTTTTCCCCGTGGGCGAAAATTTCGACCGTTGCTGTTTGTAGCTCTTTCAGCGACCCCATTTTGGCGACCAGATCTGCTGTTGCTCAGGGGTTTGCGGCAAGCTTTCGCCTTCCTGGATTCTTGGGTGTTTTGGTGCGGTTTGGCCGGGAAAGTGTCTCTGTGTGGCCCTGGGCGCTGGGTGGCGGCACCAAGAAGTAATGATTTTGGGGGCGCTCCTAAGAGGCTCGTTTTCGTGGAGCACTGCACCTTGAAGTCAGCTAGCAGTTTTCTAATCTGGCGATTTTTATGTGGCTTGTTTGGCTTTAGTCGCTCTTTCGTACTTGTGTGGACGCCCGATCCGCCAGCGGTCAGCGTGGCCAACTGGATGTACGAGGGATTTTCCGGATGGCTGTAGTCATGTTTATGGCTTAGGTTGTCGGGGTCCTGGGCCACAGTTGTGTCCGCAAGCAGAGAGGCCGCTTTGACGGAGTGGAGCTGAAGATTGGCTTCGCTGTTTGACCCCGCACATCTGACTCGGTTCAGTTCAGAAGCTGTGGCCTTGTTGAGGAGTGCATGGTTGCGGCTGTGTTGTCCGTTACGGAGATAAGCGTTGATAGCTCCGCGTACTTTGGGCGTTGCTTGCATGTGAGGTTTGCCTCTTCCAGGGCATCACTGCTTTAGGTGGGCGAGAGGCACGTGGTGTTCGAGTAAAATCTACCGGCCGGAGACGCAGCTGGTTTCGTCGGCCTGCTTTCCGGAGCACAACGGGATATGAACATAGTCGGCTTGTTCATGAGTTTGGGGTCGGCTGAGCTTTTGTCCAGCGGAAGGCTGTTTCGTGCCTCCACCCCTGACCTGTTGTGAGCGAGTGTAATATGCACGCTATGGAAGCACCAGAGGACAGTGACTCTCCGAAGGCAGGTGTTCACAACAATTTCTGTGGATGGAAAACAGAAATAAAGCTCATGAGCCAAAGACCAGTAAGCAAGTTTGTACATCACCAATACTTACATATGAGTCAATCAAACTGACAGACACCGTATACTACGCTGGCGCCCTTTTTGAAGAACACCGTCCCTGGTGTACCATGGCCTACATGAACCGGCCAGTGCTAGTGGTGCGGTGCGTTAAGCTGGTGAGCGTGTGCAAAGGTTGCTGTGTCTGGGACTGCGTCTACCGTGTGTGGGTGAGCATCGTGCTACCTCTGAGGCCTGTATGCACATATGTAGAGCCAGGATCTTCGTGGTAGGTTCACCAGTGCGTGGTAACCATCCTGGTTTGGTCACCAATTATGTAATATGCACGCCATGGAAGCACCAGGGCGGCAGTGATTCTCCGAGGGCAGGTGTTCATGACAATTTCCGTGGATGGGAAACAGAAACAAAGCTCATGAGCCAAAGCCCAGTAAGCAAGGTTGTACATCACCAGTACTTACTTATGAATCAATCAGAATGACAGACACCGTATACTACAATGCACAAGCCAGGTGGGGTGGCCGTTATTCGCGCAATGCTATCAGTTGCAAAACCTGTTCAAAGGGAGCAAAACTTTTTACGCCAAAATGTTGCATTTTGTTGGTATGTGCTGATTTCGGAAGTCGTCCTAGTATACCTTCATTTTTTGCGGCTCACCAAATTTCATTGCTCATTGAAGCAACCATGCCTGTCGCTGAAAAGTCCTGTGGGATAGTTTACCGGCATCGCGGAGACCCCTGTATGCCTTAATGAGGCTTAGAAGTTTGGACTGCTACTTTTAACTCAATTTCCCTGTTGCTTTAGTCCATCAGGGACGCGTCATAGCTATCGAAAATTCAACTCCACTGTGCGAATACCGAGCGCCTGCAGGTGGTTTTGATTCACATATGTCTAGATTTAGTGGAAAGCAATAATGCTGTGGCATGCATTTATATGACTATTCATTACGATTTTTTTAGATTGAAGTTGGGTGTTTAAGGAGCACAACTCTGTTTTAACTCACCACAAAGTGCAGCGTATATTTCATCATTTGTTTTAATGTGTTCAAGGAATGCGCTTTTGTTTCAACATGCACACGGAGGTTTTTACTTAGGGTCTTCTTCGGTGAACTTGACGTCATTTTCAAGGAATGAGCGTTTTGTCATCTTGCAGATGGTCGTCTCGACTGAATGGCAATCGGTACCTCATGTCCATGCAACATCGTTTTACACTCCGTTTTGGGAACCGTGATTGCCCTGTTTTGCAAAATGTTTCCTACAAGGATGCATTTAGGACGACACGCATTTCGTCGCGTGTGCAACATTCCTTGTGGTTAGTGCGTGAAAAATGCCCGCCGGATGACTGGAATGTACGTTTCGACAACGTTCTCTATTGCCACGTGTTCCTCACCTCCCACGTGAGAATTTAGCCCGAGAAGTGCAAGCCGATGGTGTTATGCATCTTCTTCAGAGGTAAGCGAACGGAGCCTGGGAAAAGCGTTCAGCTAAAGCACTCTTCCAGTGCCTAGCTGCCATGCCACCAGAAGTAAGCTCAACTGCTGGGATACTGCTAGGTGTCCCAAGCCTAGAAAGGGGAAGTCGTGAGGCGGATGTGGGATTCGAATCACGGTCCTTCCGCTCCGTAAATTCGCTCTCTTACCACTTTTGCCAGTTGGGCTCGGCGATTCCTGCCCCGTCACCAAATGAACCACATGAATCGCACGATGCTCTTAGCTGCAAAACACTTCCGAATGGAATAAAACTATTCGCGGAATTTGCTGCGCGAACTGAAAACCATTTTAATCTACATTCATATATTTGCATCTCGGTAACTTTCATCAAAGCAATCAAATCTCTGGCCGAAAAAGTCGATCAAAGTACTTTCCCAGCTTTGCTGAGACCGCGGGATGCCTAGATATGGCTTAAAAGTTTGTGCTGGTGATCTGAACTCAAGTGATTGTTTGCTTTAGATCATTGGGGACACGTCGTGGCTCTCGAAAATTCAACTTCATTGTGCGAATAATGAGAACATTGAATGAATGTATGTATATATTCATCTCCCTTGGTTTTCATCAAAGGCTGCCTGAAGCTCCAATGCGTCGGATCAAGTGGGCTTTTGCGGCACACTGACCGAACCCGTTCAACAGAGCGCTTACACTCAACAGGTCGTTGGACCCACCAGATGCAGGGCAGGCCAAC